TTTAGGTCGGGGATCGACGAGGTGGACCTATGGGGGACAGAGTGCTTCCCTACCTTATAGTAAAACCTGAAAAGAACTAACCGACTAAAATAAAATTCTAATTGTTTTGTAAGTCTAGCCCTAAGTTGTTCTTCATTCATTGGAATAGCACCACAAATACTTGAAGGGGGTCGTTGTTCAGGCGTATTTGAACGAATAAATTGTTCTGGTCCTGGGACAGAAAGTAATTGATGGCGACATTCTGCTGTAAACCACCAAGGCTAAAAAGGAAAATTTTTACTTAAAACTTGAAAAATAAGAAAATTTTAAAGAATGGGACCAAATGTCTCACCCCAAAAAATATCCAATAAAATGATTATTTTAAAAAATAAAAAAATTTTCTTAAGGATGGGACCAAATGTCTCATGACAAAAAAATATCCAATAAAATTATTTAAAAAAATGGAAAAAAATTTCTTAAGGATAGGACCAAATGTCTCATCCCAAAAAATATTTAATTATTAAAAAACCCTAACCAGCATCGGCAAAAATGGGGAAGCATTTGAACTATTACAATTATTATTAAATTGATAATGATGTTGTCCAGGAGCCGATAAAGTTTCTGGGACCTTTTCTTCGTTTTCCTCGGATTGTTGAACTTCTTTTATAGCACCATCCAAATCATTAACCTTTAAAAAAAATTTTTTTTGCTTCGAAAAAATTTCCAAGAAAAAACCTGTTTAATTACAAAACATCTAGGCCAAGTTTCAGTACAAAGAAAAAAAGAACCACCAGCAGCACCAACACCTCCACCACCACCTTCTAAATCGAATCCTGGAAGCATTTAATGAGGCAAATCAAACAACAAACAAAAATAAAATAATTCTTTGTTGCCTAAAATTGTTTGTTCTTTTTTTAAATTTAATTAAAAATCTTTAAAAAAAATAAATTTTATAAAGGATAAAAATTGAGAATGGGCAAAAAAATAATTTTTTTTTAATTTTTAAAAATTGAGTTCATTATAAATTTTGGGTGGTCCATTAAAAAATTTAAAAAATAAAAAAAAATAAAAATTATTTGGGTAGGTGAGCGTCGCAATAGAGGCAGGGATTAACACATGCTGACTGAGAGTCCCCAGAATTTAATTTAAATTGATGTAAATATTCGGAAAAAAATGAATAAAAGGAAGTAGAAAATAACGGAAATACTTAAATAAGTACATAAATTATTAAAATATTTTTAAAATTAAAAAAAAATATTAAAAAAATTTTTTGCCTTAAAAATAAACCTAAAAAGGAAGAAAAATAAATAAAAATTCATTTTTAAATAATAATAAAAAAAAACTTGTGCTAAGGCGGAATATTCAATTATTATATTTAAAAAAATACAATTTTTTGGCGATTTTTAATAAATATTCACAATGTAAAGAAATATACCCTAATAGAATATTGAACAATCAAAATAAAACAGAGTTAAATATTATGAGATAAATCAGAATTTGTAAAAATTAAAAAAAATCAGAATTAACGCGAAATAATAAAAGATTTTTGTTTTATAGTAAAATGCTTATTATTATTATGACGCAAACCAAAACTATAATTAATTTTAAATTTAATGCGAGAGCCCATAAATTAAAATTTAAAAACAAAACAATAAATTTAGAAAAAAAATTAATTTTTGAAAAAGCTATCTCGTCACCCATTTATTTAAAAACCCCAATTTACTCTAAAAATTAAACCTTTCCCCCAAAAAAATTTTTTTCTTATTTAAGCATAACCTCCCAAAAATAAAATAAAATATGCATTATATATTTTAAAAAGGAGCGGTATAAATAAATGGGATGGGCGCGATGATAATGAAATAAAATAAAAAGGAGAGTATATTAAAAAGAGAAAATATGACGTTGTAAAATATATACAAGTTGGGCGTGTGTGTCAGTCCATCTTCGTCAATGAAAAGAAAAATGAAATACAAAATATTAAGTAGAATATAGAAACTATTTTAAAAATATATGCTTCTTCGACAAGCCCTATTTGGGGAGAGAGAGAACAGAAAATTAAAAAAGGAGCCCAAACTTAAAGCGGGAGGTGATAAAAAAATTAACGGGTAGTAGTAAAAATAAGGAAAAATATTGAAGAAAAATTAAAAAATTAAAAAAACTAAATCAAGCCGCCCATTATTTACTCATATTTACTATATTTTTTAGTGCGAAAACCCTACCCCGGACCCGATCTCTAAAATAGTTTAGTACAAGACTCAAGAAAACTAAAATTAAGAAAGGTAAACTTGGTCTAATTTTACAACTCTAGGAATTTGGTATTTAGAGAGAGAATGAAAAATCTTTAAGAAAAATGAAAAAAAAAGTTTGTCTAATTTTAGGCATTTTTAAATAATAAATAAAATAGAACGATAAAAAGACGAAAGGTTCACGCATAGACGTAAACCGGCTTTGCTTATTCTTTTCCCTCCCATTCTTTTCCTTATAGGGTCTCCCATAAATTTTTGGTAGTCGGTTCTCCCCAAGTTTTTTTTGCTCTTTGGTGGTTTATTTTATTTATTATTAAAGTAAAGAGAAATATTGAGAAAAAGCGTAAAAATATATGAAAAATATAAAGTTTTATTTAATAATTTAATATATATTAAAAATAAATTATTAAAAGAAAATTTACAAAAAAAAATTTTAAAAGCAAATTCTGGTGTGAGTGAAAAGATGAAGATTCCCACCCAACAACAATTAAAAAAATTTTTAACCTAAAATTTTCAAAAAAATTTTTTTTAATAAATTCAATAGAAGTGCACCATACCAATCAAAAAAATTTTTAAAAAATTTTAAAAAAATTAAAAAGGTTTTAGCCAAAAAAAAGAAGAAAATATTGAATTTTTAGGAGAAAAAAAAAGTAGAAAATGACTTTAAAAAAGGAATTGTTAAATAGTAGAAAAGGTACAAAAAATATAGTGAAATTGAGAAAATAAGATTTTAGGATGCTTCTCTTGGAAAAAAAATTAATGGAAATTTTATCTCGAAAAAATATAGCTAGTCTAGAAAATCAATTATAAAAAGAAAGAAGCATTATATGGAAAGGCCAGACTCTACGGAGTCAGCGCAACTCGATGATGAAGCTCGAGCTCCAAGGAGCAAAAAAAAAAATAAAAAATAAGAGGGTACCTTAAAATCATGGAGGAGTATTTTTCGTTGAACAATTAAATTTTATAAAATAATTAGCTACGGAGAATCCTACAAAACTAATATTATTTCAGAACAAATTTTTTTATAACAATTAACAAAAAATTATTTAATAAAAAAAATTTTTTCTTTAAATAATCGCGTCTTACGCTAAAATAGGAAATAATTAAAATAAATAAAAATAAATTCCCAAAAAATTACAAATATAGAAAATTAAAAAAGGATAGAGGAAATAAACTAAAAAAATATTTTAATGTTGCTTTAAATAAAAATAAAAAAATTAGTAAGAATAAATAAAAAAATTATGGAAAAAAATTATGAGTGTGAAAATATGAGTAATAAATTTTTTGAGCAAAAAAAGTTAAAACAAGAGAAGGGAAACAAAGAAAAAATTTTTGAAGTTCCGGCTTCAAAGTATGAAAAAGAAACATTAAAAATTAAAAAATAAACATCCTGTACCAAAAATTTAGAAAATAAGTGTACTCGAAAAAATATATTTTCTTTGCTTTAGGAGTCACCGCAACACCCTGGGAGTGTTTCTTGTAAAAATATGCCCGAAGATGGAACCAGAGCTTTTCCAAATTTAGTTTCAACAGAGACTCGGTAATCCTAATATAAAGTTACTAATAATGAGTCCTTCCCCAGCTATAGAGGTGAAAGATTAAAGTCTTTTACAAACTTTTAAGAGATTAAATTTTTTGCACTTGAATAACCCCGGTTAACGTTTAAAAACATTTTTTAAACTTAAAATATGAACAGAAAACAGAAAAAAAGGACAGAAACAAAAATATTATTTTATATACAAAAATTGAGTCTTTTTTACTTCCTTTTAATAAAAAGCTTTTAAAAAAAGAATAGCTTAATATAAGAGAGAATATATTTGGAGGTAAAAAATAAAATAGTAAAAAAAAATTGGAAGCGCGGCGCGCTGGTTAAAAGGAAAGAGGTAAAAAATAGGAAGCAAGAGAATATTTGGAGAGTGACGTGAACTTTTTTCTATCCTAAGCTATATCCTTATAGAGAATATATATAAAATGTTCTCCTTATTATACAGCTGATGCTATACTAGAAAAGGAAAAAATGAAGCTATAAACAATTTTTTAATAGGAAAAAAATATAAAAATGAAGTGACATTTTATCCCAATTTTTATTTTTATGAAATTTCAGGGCTTTTAAGGCTTGGAAACATTCTTATATGTGGACTTTTTATTGGACACCTTTAAATAACCTCACTCTTATCGACAGAAAATTTTTTTTGGAATAACAACAATGATTTTGAAATTTGGGATAAAATGTCACTTTGACAAAAATCAAAATAAATTTCCCTATCAAATGGATTTAGGAAAGGAAAAGATTAAAGAACAAAAGTAAAACCCGATTGATATATATGTGGATGAATGAAAAGCAAAAATACTAACATAAATAGAAGAATATGAATCATCCTATAATTACATTTTATTATTAGAGAAATGGAGGGAAAAGTCAAAGAAAACGTCACTGAAAAAATGGCGGATTTAAAGAAAATAAAAAAAATTTTGTAAAAAATATTTTGAAAGCCCTTAAAAAATCCCCTCCAATCCCTTCAAACTCTAAACAAAGAAATAAATAAAGGCATTAAGTTAAAACAAGTTAAAAAAGCCCACACTTTTTCTTTTGGTGTTACGTCTTCACTCATTAATGAGGTAAAAAAAGATGCAAAAAATGGGGACAAAAGGAAGAGAACATCCATCCGTCTATGCCACGTCCGTTGGCCAACCAACCCCCTCAATCTATCTTTGTGTCAACTTTTTTTCTCAAAGAAGAAAAATAAAGGAGGAAAAAGGAAGAAAAATTTCTTTTTAATGCCCCCAAAAATTCATTGATATTGTCAACAAGTTGGTGACAAAATAAAAGAAGCAAGAAAAGTGTCGAGACGCAAATGAAAAATAACCCAACAAATAAAAATAAACAAGATAGATTAAAATGGATTCAAAAAGATAGAAAAGTTTTTCGAATACTTCACAAAATTTTTCGACCCCAGCTAACACGGAAACTTTCATATGTCTGTAAAAAACCCAAAAATACCCAAAGGAAAGAGAATGGCTCCCTGAAGGCTCCCCAACAACGTATTAGTATCGAAGAAAAATATGAAAATTTTTTTGACAAAATTATTCGACCCTCGAAAACTGCCCCATAAGCATAAACCCATAACCCCAAAATTAAAAAGAAATATCAAAAAAATCAGAAAAAATTTTTCCCTTAATAATCCCGCAAATTGAGATGAACCGCAATTCAGAGAAGAATAAAAAAACCCTTCCCCAAATAAACCTTGAAAGATCTCTCAAAGAATTTTTCCTTAAAAATCCCACAAATTTAAATAAACCGCAACTCAAAGAGAAGAATAGAAAAGCCTTCCCCCCAATAAACTTTAAAATCCCCACAGAAAATTTTCATTAAAAAATCCCACAACTTAAAAAAGAATATTCGCTAATAGCCTTAAAAGGAGCTCATTTCACCATTGTCTCTTAAAACAGAAAAGTTTTATCCCTCCTTTATCTCTACGTTAGCCATATTTTCTTAATAAACACACAAACAAAACAAGGGTCGATATATTCGACAGATAATGGACGCGAAGAGAATATTGTGTTGTTGTTTTATGGAGGACTTTTTTTTAGGTGAACTCTGTTATGGCGCTTAAAAAAGGGAAGTAGTAGTAGAGAGAATAAATGAAAAAAAAAAGGGAGGAATAAATAGTAGCTCTAGGCTTTAGCCATTTTTAATTGACAGACTGTTTGACGTTTTGTTTGCTAGCTTGTGTGCTGCTTTTCCTCGAAAAAAAATAAAAAAATGGCCAGCGCCTTCTCTTTTTATGGTTAAAAAAGCTAATGGGGAAAGAGCGCTAACTAGGAAAATGAACATAATAAAAAACTGAAAAAGGAAAAAAATAAAAAAAAAAATTGGTGTCAGCATTTTGTGTCAACGTTGAACGTTAAAAGGAAAGATAAAAGAGTAGAGAAGTCAAAACTGGAGGGGGAAAATAAATAAAAATAAAATAAAAAATAGAAGCCCAGTCTGAAGATATTTAGGTAGATTAAAAGTGACAAAAAAGCAGGAAAGAATAGCTGAAATAAAACCATCTAGTAGATGGTCACGCTGAAACTTTTCTAGTAGACAATCTATCGCCTAAAACTTTCCCAAGGATGACTGGAGCGCTCGCGATTGATAAGAAAGATTTTAAAACCCAAATTAATCTACCCTCCCCAATTAGACTAACCCAAAGTTGCTTGATTTTGAACTTTGTTATTTTATATAGGGATGAGCTGGAGTCGAGGTTTCGAGCCAAATTGGGCATTTAAAAAATCCTTAGGGGAGGAGGGGGACATTTTAAAAAATCTTTAGACAAGCAGAAATAAAACAATCAAAAAATTAAATTAAAGAAAATATTTTAAGGCCATGCAATAATCTTTTAAAATTATTAATATTTTCTTATGAATCATGAAAAAACATATAAAATAGAAACAAAAAAAAAATACAGAAAAAAAACTAGTTGACTTGACAAAAGATGTTATTAAAAAAGAAAAAACTAAAAAGTGCAAGGTCGCGAAAAGAGCAATAAAAGAGAGAGCCTTATTGCAAAAATAATAAACAAATAAAAAAGAGGGGAAAGAAAAAAGGTAAGAAAAAAGTAGCAGTGTATGAAAGAGATCAAGCCCAAATGGTCAACATCCTAACTTATGAAATTTTGAGAAAAAGAGAGGAACCCAACTAGTCGAAAATAAGTTTGGCAGATCCTGAGAAATCTTGGGAAATGGGAAAAAATCCTGGGAAATCGTTAGAACAAAAAATTTCGGAATATCTGGCCCTTTTTTCGTATCCGGATCCGCCAAAATTACTCAAAAACGAACCATTACCCATGAAGAAAAAGAGAAGAAACTTCTAGAGACTAACAAGAAAATAAAAAAGCAGCAATGTATGAAAGAGATTAACCCAAGGGGTCACCACCCTAACTTGAGTAAAAGAAAGGACCCACCTAACTACTCGAAGGACCCTCATCCATAAGGGAAAGGAGAAAGAACCAAACTCCTTAAGCCCAACAGACCCATCTCATTAAAAATTTTTTAACTTAAAAATAAACAAACGAACCTAATGAACACAACACGTGAATTATACATCAGAATCAACCTCAGAACCAATCCACATTTTTAGAAACCAAAGCAATCCTTTTAATAGGCTCCTCTCCAAAATAATTAGCACCAGAAAAAGTAAATTCACCAGGCTTCAATTCCCTTGAATAAATCCACAGCAAATCACACAAGACAAAACAAGCTTCGAGCACTTCCACAAATTGAAAAAAATTTTGATTGAAGTCAGAAATACAGCAGGCGGGTGCCGGAATTTTGGTCACCGGTATTTTGGTCACCACGATTTTTCGGAACTTTGGTCACCAATTTTTTTGGAATTTTGGTCACCAGCGGAATTTTGGTCACCAAACGGAAAAAAGAATCTTATCTAAAACTGATAACAAAGTGATAAAAAAATTGTTTTTCAACTCCCATTCAACTCCCAGTTGTTCAATTTCAATGTTGATCACTCTGACAGTTAATCAATCATCCGGTAGAGTGATCGAGAGTGATCAACCGGGAGAGTGATCAGCCAGGAAAGTGATAAACATTGAAATTGATCAACTGGGGGGATGAAAAATCATTTTTCATCACTTTGATATCAGTTTTAGATAAGATTCTTTTTTCAGTTTGGTGACCAAAATTCCTCTTGGTGACCAAAATTTCAGTGTCCAATATTCCGTTTTTTGACTTGGTGACCAAAATTCCGCTGGTGACCAAAATTCCAAAAAAATTGGTGACCAAAGTTCCGAAAAAGCGTGGTGACCAAAATTCCGGTGACCAAAATTCCGTACACCCAGCAGGCCACCAAATTTTCAAAAATTTTTAAATTAGGCCATCTTGGTTAAGTTGGATAAATTTCAGTTTTTAATAAATAATAGACAAAAGTTCGAATCCCTTTGAAAAAAAATAATTTTAAAATAAAAATAACAAGGCATATAACCTTTTTAAACGAAAAAACTTTAAAAAATGAAACAAAAAAAATTTTTAACAATAAAAAACAAACAAAAAAAACAATAAAAAAATTTAAAAAACCTCTTCCTACTCATTTTTGAAATTTTTCAAATAAATCACTTAAAGATTCATAATTTTCCTCTTTTCCTTTTGATATTCTAAATCGGTCACCAAACATTAATTTTGTTTTTGTACCAAATTCTTTTAAAGTGTTGACACCCATAACTTCAGAAATTAGTACTACAAAGGATATGTAGCCTGAAAAAAATTTTTTATAAAGTATTTTGATGGTGTTCGAAAGTGCTCGAGTATGTTCCAGTAACCCCAAAAACCGTCAAATATGGTCTCGTAATGCCAAATAGTCTTAACAACAAACCGTAAAAGAAACAAACATTGGAAAGACAAACACCACCGCCCCTACCCCCAAAAAGCCGTTAAAACCGTCAAAGGGACAAACGTCTGAAAGACAAATACCCCGAAAAAGTCGTCAAAATACACCCAAAAACCGTCAAAATACCAAACATTGAATGGCTCCATTTAAACTCTTCTTTTTTTTTCTAACGATAGTGAGAGTTCCCCATTATTATCAAGGGTGTTCCCCATTATTATCAAGGGTGTAGAACACCTGTCTACGTTCTTGATTGTTACAACAATGAAGGGTTATCCTAAAAATCTTGGGAATGTTAATATTTTTGGTATTACAACTTTATTTTCACTGTTTGGCATTTTTGAAGGCTTTCTGGAGTGGACTAAAAAGGCTTTCTGAAATCAACTACGCCCTAAACCCACGAATCAAAAAAATTACCCGAAATAGTAATTAACGACGCCAATCCAAATGCTTGCATTGCTAAACCTTGATATATAAAAAATAACTTTTAAAAACAATTTCACAATAAACCTGCACCAGAAAGTAGATTTGTCCTAGGCAATTCTCCAGGTTTTAATTTTGAATGAATCCAAGCCACTCTCAACCCATAAATAAAACCAGCAGTTGAAGCAGTTCCACAAACTGAAAAAATTAAAAAATATTTTTGATTAATATTGAATCTCCTCAGAGTTAAATTTACTGGGTTTTCATCCCCCAGAACCCAACGAGTATTTAGAGAGAATCAAGCTAAGCGGGGTTATTGGAACATAGCCCCGGCCGTAAAAAAAGTAGCAGGGGGAGGGCCAAGAGCGTAAAAAGGCCCGAGATCTACTCATAAGAAAAGACCCCAGAAAACCAACCCCCTCATCTTGACTAGGCCGAATTCGGATCACAATACCATCTCTAAACCTCATCAAACCAAAAAGAAACTCACCAAGTTTAAACCATCTTAACGGCCGATTGAAATTTCTTTCTGTTTGTTGATTGCCACAATTATCCACATCTGTTGTCAAATCATTCTTTGAACTGCTTGTTGCTTCATCGTTGACCATTACTCGGTACAATGCTAAAAAATGATAAAAAAAAGTTGCTATAAAAAATCAATAAAAGTTAAGAAAAATCTAGGGAATTCCCAGAACGGTTGAGTCCCGACAATTAAAATTTTAATTAAAATAAAGACAGTTGAGTCATGGCCATAAACTTTTAAGAGGAACCAGCAAAAGAGAGGGACTAGAACCGCTGTTGTCAAGGACTAGAACCGCTGTTGTTATAATCAGCTTTAATCAACTATTCGGACACGAAATTTCGATTATCATAAGATTTATTGTTAAGCTTTTTTAAAAACCTCAAAAATTATGTCAAAGTCCCCAGACTCAACTGTCACTTTTCTTAATATTTGGGATTTTTTGTCATTTTTGAAAATTTATTAACACAACGCCAAATTTCAAAAACGCCCAAGTAATATTATCGATTTCCCTACTGTAATAACAAACAACGTTGAAATTTTGTTGTTTGGCTTCGTCTTGTATGTTTGTTTACGCGTTTACTTTCCTTCCTCTTTTAAAAATTTTGCATGAAAACTAAGCAGAGAGAAAACAACCCTTCCACTCATTCAATTAAATCTCTGCCTATTTTCATGTAAATTTTTCATTGAATCTTTTTTTTTCAGAAACTTTAAAAAATTTTCTGAAAAATTTTCTTTGACGATGCCAGTCCAAATTGATACTATAAACGAAGGAGATGGTACCAATTTTCCAAAAAATGGACAAAAAGTTTCTTGCCATTATATTCTGAAATTAGAAAATGGACAACAAATTGATTCTTCTCGTGATCGTGGACGTCCTTTTGAGTTTACAATTGGAAAAGGAGAAGTTATTAAAGGATGGGATGAGGGTGTTGCTAAGGTTTGTTTGTTTACATTTTAAAAAATGCTGGGGGACCTCCAAAGAAATTTTCCGAAATTTTGTAAAATTTTCGGAATACCCCAAAAAGGACGCAGATGGGTCAGTTTATACATACCTCTTTTGAAAGAGCGTATACGTTCAAATAAGTACCCTCCTTATTAATCACTCCCGGTAATAGTTTGGAATTCGCCCCCCCTTTTTTTCCTTTCTATTTTTTCCTAGTTGCTTCACATTTTATGGCAAATTATATATCATTCGAAAGAGATCTTCAAGCTGAATCGAATGACATTAAAATCAACAGAATCAGACTTAAGTGAACAAAGTTGTGACCGTTTATTTTATCCGCTTGCATAGGCACAGAATGTTTACCCAACTAGGATTTAGCTTCATAATTTTGTTAAACGTGATCAGATTTAGCCAATCAAGGTATCATTCGACCAAGCTCGAAGAGCTCTTTCGAATGATATATGTATGATAAATTATGCAACAAACAAAAAAGCTCAAAATGGTCAGGGAAACTGAAAAAAAAGGGGGGGGGGGCGAATTCCAAACTATTACCTCACTCCCTTCTGTGAAAGTTGAAGAAATGCCCAGGTCAATGGTTTTATTGTCAGCATACTAGGGTTCGATATTACGGGACGGGGGCTGAGTTTACGTGGAACGGGGATTTCGTTTCGCCGGTCGGGGAACGTGGAGGGCTTGGGGAGACCTCCTCCCGTTCCCCTGGGAATTCCCTACCCATTTGATCTCTTTTTTAGTCTACCGAAAGTATACCCTTTCGAGGTCAATTTAAAACTGGGGGACCATGAAGCTTGACTTCACCTACTAAATACATTTTTTTCACAGATGTCTGTTGGTCAACGCGCAAAACTTACAATCAGCTCCGATTTGGGTTATGGAGAAAAAGGAATTCCTGGAACGGTTTTTTTGAAATTTTTTTATTAAAAATTATTAAAATTTTCAACAGATTCCACCAAATTCAACTTTGGTTTTTGATGTTGAATTGCTTGCTGTCAAATAAAAAATCAAGAAAGACACAAGTTTCTAGAAGTAAAATTGAAAACAAACAAAAAACTTAAGAAGAATTTAAATGAAAAAATATTCCTCTCTTTGAATTATTTTAAAAGTTAACTTAACATTTATTTTGGTTTTTTTGGCTTAATTATTTTGATATAAATTCAGTTACCAAAAAATTAATTTTCAATCTCGTCAGAATTTTGGCTCAATTTTATTTAAATAAATGATCCAATTTTTGAGTTTCAGTTCCAATCAGGGACGAGTAGAATCATCGAGACCGTGACTTTTTCCGACTCGGCCTGAATATTTGGAAAATCTGATTCGATTTCCTTCTCGACCCAGCCGTCTCACGTTTACAAAACCTATCTAAAATTCTGATTTTTATATACTCTTTCAGCCAGTATTTTTTGTCTATCTTTACCTCTTTCCGAATACTTATATATTTGTTAAAATTCCCCGAAATAAAAATCAAAAAAAAATTTTCTTTAAATTTATACTAAAAAACCTTGAGAGAAAAAATAAATTCACACAACCAAAAAAATATAGGAAAGGCCTTTAAACTTTTTACCAAAAAAAATTTTTTTTCTAAAGATACTCCCCTCATCTATCCTCATAATTATTATCATCCTCACTATCATCATGTAAAAGTCCATCCCTTTGAGCTTTCCAACGAGAAATTGGACGTTGATTCTTTTGTTTTTTGTTGAAATTTTTGAGATTTTTTGATTTCTGTGTATTCTTTTTTGTTTTCAAAAAAGGTTCACGTTCCATAATTTCATCTTTAACAATCTTAAAAAATTCGAAAAAATTTTTTTTCTTAAAAAATCGACAAAAAAACCTCTTTAGAAACGCTGTATATTCGCCTTTGTTCTTTTTGATCAATTTTTTGCAATTCTGTAGAATCAATTGGTGAATGTTCATTTTTATTTTTCAAAATAGATCGCTCCTTAAAATTTAATTTTAATCACTTTTAAAGTTAACTTTAAGGAGGTTACCCAAACCCGAAATCTTTTCGACCCAAATCCAATTTTCCCATGTCCCCTTTTAATCTATCAAATCCCTTGGTACTGACCCGAAACGAACCCCGATCCGAAGAAAAGTTTAAAACCCCGATCAGACTTCTCCCAACCTATGAGATCCCTGGTTCTTGGAAAGTCTAAGGAAATCAGAAAACGAAGAACCTAATCGATCGGTTTCGAACTGATTTTCCTAGTTCTCCCAATTATACAATTAAAAAACCTTTTTCATTCCAATAGGTTGTTGTTCATCATCCTCTAATATATCAGAAAAATGTACACGTCGCCTCTCTTGTTTGGAATGTTGATCATTATTCTCCTCCTCTCCTTCCTTCACATCCATTTTTTCTTCTTCTACCTCCATTTCCTCCTCATCTTCACTCAATTCAAGCGAATCACAAAGTTTGACAAACCTCTCATAATCCTAAGGAAAAAATTTTTTAGTCAAAAACCCCTCAAAACTCCCCAAAACCCCCCAAAAAACCTTTTCAGACACTCCTTTTGGCCTAGTTGGTTTGTTATCATCTTCTTTAGAATTTTTATTAATTTTATTATTGTCTTCATTATTTTCTTCTCCTCTCTTCAGTATTTGATCTATTTCATCATTTATTCGATCCATCTCATCATTTTTTGAACAAGGCTTTGAAAGTGACGGTGAAGGGGGCGATTTTTTAGTAGGAGGAGAATGCTGAATTCGTTTGCCTTCAAAAATAAAAATAAATTATGCCTATTTGCGAAAGAGATTCCTGAATTCTATAAATAAAGGCTAATTTATCTTTATTAGATTGGGAGGTAGATCGGGTTTCGGGTCTTCGAACCCGATATTCGGGACAAAGTGAATTTAAAGTCCCAGACGACTCATCCGTTTTTTCTTTTCTCTACAAGGGGATTACAAAAATAAAGACCATTTCGTCTCTATTAGATTGGGAGGTGGATTCGGGACATAGTTGAGGTCCCAGGAAAACTGACATCCCTGTGTAAATTGAAGAATACCTTGAGGCATATAAACCTCTCACCAGAATTAATTTAAGATAAACCTTTAATTTTTCCATTCCCTTCCCTGTCTTCATTTTCTGGTTCTCGAATTTCCACTAAGCCATCGTTTGTCTAAAATCAAAAGAAAATTTTTTTCAATATTTTGGAGTAATTTACAATATTTAATCTTTCCATTAGAGCAACCTTTTCAGTTAGAGATGCCATTTCTTGACGTAAATATTTTAAGGCAGTTTGAAAAACTATAAAGGAAATTAAAGGAACTTTTAATTTAAGGGTTTTGGCGACCGATTATTAACCTATATCCTTCAGTTTTCGGTTAAGTTTCTAACTATTAGAAGAAAAGAGCAGGGAATTGGGGCTACTAATAAATAACAAAATTCGGACCAGCCTATGCGTGGTTGGATGGAGGACAGATTAAGTCGAAGTTTAGAGAGAAGAGGCCCTGAATCAGATAGCAACATTCCAACCTTACTCCTTATAGGTAATTTTCGAAAATTTTAGAGTTTAAAATCCGATCGCCCACAACCCCTTAAATTTTTCAAAAAATTCTTTAAAAATAAACCTTCAATTTGTCTACCCAAAATTTCTAAAGCTTGTTCACGCGTTCTCATAACAAATAAATTATCAGCAAGAAAAACCATACAGCGATCGCCTGAGGCTGAAAATTTTTTAAATTTTCTTTCAATTAAAAAAATAAAAAACCTTGACATTCAATTAAACGCCTAGCATTTTCATAAACAGAAACTTCGTGTTCTTTGTGGGCTATAAAGGCTTGGGTATTTTGAAGCTCCTGAAAAAAATTAAAAAAACTTTTATTTCTAATAGTGTTAGAAGTAGTTAAGGGGCCGGGATCTAGATTTGATTCTTTCACCCACGGAGTTTTCCAAATTAAAACCCCAGAGAATCCTGAACCCATTATTTTACAAAATACACGTGTTTCCTGACTACAGGGTTCTTAAAAGCCGTCTCCAGGCTCGTAGTCAGGAGGTGGGGTTGGACGGGTGATTGGATCTTAAAAGCCGTCCCGGTCCGGGTTGGAACCCTAATTCCTACTCTTCTAAATTTTTATAAAATTCAAATCTTAAATATATTCTTGCAAAAAAAATGTAAAATCGTGACAAAAAATATAAAAAAATTTCCCACCATCAAAAAAAATAAAAACAATTAAAACCAACTAACAATTAAGTGAATTTCTCTAGCTAGGCCAATATCAAGAATATTTGAAACTGCATTAAAAGAATGTCCAACAACATTTGAATTATTTTGTTTATTTATAGAAGCATCCATTCAAATATATTAAATTAAAATTAAAATAAGGCTGAAATAAGCTGAAAAATAATTTAAAATTAAAAAAATAATTAAGGTAAAAATTTAAAAAATCAAAAAATCATTCAATATTTTAATTTAGTAATTAAAAATGTAAAAAAATTTTATAAAACAAAAAATTTAAATTTAAACAGCAGTTGAAAGTTTAACAAAATGTAAACAAATTAAAAAAATCAATAAAAAAACAATTTTGCACAATAAATCTATAAAATTTTATTTAATCCATCTCAAACAATCCATCTCAAACATCCCACTTTGCTCCTGCAAAAATGCAGTATTAAGAATACTGCAACGAATTTTTTTGGGGGTGACATACATCTAAAAGTTATAAATATTATTTCTTAAATCTATAACAAAGAACCTGTTTAGGAATACGGCCCAAACTTCTCAACTTTTCCTTTGCTCTATCTTCAAAAATGTTTGACCTCGGGACAGAACTCCCAAAGCCAAAAGGTGTTTTTTTGTTGTTTGGTGTTTTGTCCATGTTACAAATCCTGAAAATAGTAAATCTTTTATTTACATAAAGACAAGTTCAAAATAAGGCTAAGAATTAAAATATAAAAAGCTATTTATATAAAATGATAGAGGGCGGGAAGTAATGAAAGGTTAAATATTTACAAGTCTGAAATATATACAAATGTAGGTTAAGGAAAAGGTTGAAAAGAAAGTTTAAAGAGAAATAAATTCAAATAATGTTTTGGGGAAATGTTGTAAAATTTGGGGAATGTTGGGGAAATGTTTGTAAACATTTGAAATATGTTTTGTGGGAATAGTTTAAATAAAAAGGGAAAAACATTAAACTAAATAACATTTTAAAATTAATAATAAATTATCTTAAAATCACGGATCCAACAGTTGATAAAAAAGATAAAATAAAAAAGATAAAAAAAGCTGATAAAAAAGAGCTGTTTATAGTAATAAGTTGGAGTGTACAAAAATTGTGAAGAAAAGACGGGGAACTATTATAAATCTTCCTGTAGAAAAAAATTTTTTTAGCTAAAGAATTATGAGAGAACGGGAATTATGAGAGAAAAAAAAAGAATTATGAGAGAAATCTTCAAAAATATTTGACCTCGGGAGAGAACTCCCGAAGCCAAAAGGTGTTTTTTTGTTGTTTGGTGTTTTGTCCATGTTACCTTATCAATTTGATGCACAGCTGCATGGCAACTCATGGAACTTGCGCTTAGAAGAGTCATTGACTCTATTCAATTCCACATTCAACCCTTCAATCTCTAATTTAAAAAATATTTTTTAATTTAATATTTTAATCTATTTACCCTCTAATCTCTCAAATCCAACTCCATTTCCAGCTCAACATTTCAAAAAAGTCAAATTAAAGCTAAATAATTTTTAACAATAAATGAAAAAAATTAAACTTCATTCTACGTATAAGAAGGCCCCGGTTGGTCATCTAATTGAAAAATGTCAGGATCATCTGGAGTTGGAGATGTAGCACGAAACTTTTTGAAAATAAAATTAATTTGTATTTAAAAATATTAAAGGCACAAAAATTCGGTAATAGCTCTTTACCCTAATTTTTTCGGGTACGTATCAGAAATCAGAAAAATTAGACTTGATTTGGCCGAGATACAGAAATGAAAATTGAGAAACCATAGAAGCGAAAACCCATATGGACGAAAATTTATACAAATGATAGCTCATTCGAGAGAGCTCGTTGAACTGAGTAAATGTTACCAAAATAAACATGTTGGACAAGATTTGACATAGTTATGACTAAGGCTCGGATTTGTATGACGATCAATCGAGAAATATGAACATAAAATATGGATCCAGAATATGGATCAAAATCAGAAAAAATTGTAAAATATGGGTCGATTCCGATAGGTTTCGGTCCAAGTTAAGACCAAGGGTTGATGCTGTCATTCAACACACTAGATGAGTTCTATAACCTATGACAGACTGACCATCTTATACATATTTACCGAAAAAGTGACTGGGGCGGGGATGTTAGGTAAAGATGTTAAATAAAATTTAAAATACCAGATAGTAGCCTAAAGCACCTAAAGCAATCTTGAGTGTTTTTGTTATGATTCGACTAATATTATGATCAGTTACCTAAAAATGAAAAAATTTAATAATTGCCTTTAAAATTTTTTTTCTATAACTGAGGCTGTGCCTTATTTAGGAAAAGGAGATGTTAAAATCCTTTAAAAAATTAGACTAAAAAATGTGCGGAGATAAAATTCAACATCAAAACCCAAAGTTGAATTTGGAGGAATCTGACAATTTTTAATGGAATAATTTCGGAATACTAAACAGACTCCGATTGGGACATATTATATGTCATTCGTAACTTAATGAGTCTAATGACATCAAAAAATCGATTGGGACGTAACTATGGGCCGAGATACAGGGCTCGAAATGGTCAAAAACCATAGGGGGGGGGGGGGGGGCCAAGTACTATTTGGGGTGAAAAATTCGAAAATGCAAATAATAGCTCATTCGAAAGAGCTCCTCGGGCTGAGTCGAATGACACCAAAATCGCCGTGATTGGTCAAGTTTGTTCAAAGTTATGACAGAAAAAACAAACAACGTAAACCTATGGGGCGTCGGCGAGGCGCTTGTGCAAAACTCCGCGCTTCGCGCGGAGTTTCGCGCCTCGCGGGGAGTCTACGGGCTCTGGGTCTGGGCTCGTAACTTAATCCTATTCCAATTATCGCTATGATGGGCATGCCCGGCTTCCTCCGCAGCAGCAAGAACATCCACGGAGAACAAAGGTAAGGAGCTAAAACAAACGATCGTAACTTTGTCAAATCAAGTCTGATTTTGCTGATTTTGGTGTCATTCGACTCAGCTCGAGGAGCTCTTTCGAATGAGCTATTATTTGCATTTTCGAATTTTTCACCCCAAAAAAGTGCTTGGTCTCCCCTATGGTTTTTGACCATTTCGAACCCTGTATCTCGGCCCATAGTTGCGTCCCAATCGATATTTTGATGTCATTCGACTCAGCTCGCCGAGCTGAGTCGAATGACATATAATTTGTCCAAATCGGAGTCTGTTTAGTATTCCGAAATTATACCTTTTTAATTTTTGACAATTTTTAATAAAAAAATTTTAAATAACCGTTCCAGGAATTCCTTTTTCTCCATAACCCAAATCAGAGCTAATTGTAAGTTTTGCATGTTGGCCAACAGACATCTGTGAAAAAATATTTAGTAGTGAGAAGTCAACGTTGTAGTCCCCCGGTTTCAATTGACCATGAAAAAGCAAACTTTCGATAGATAGGTAGGGAACTTTCGTTCAATTAGGTAGGATTCCCAGGGGAAAGGGAGGAGGTCTCCCCCCAGAGCGCGCGGCCCCGTCCGCGCGGCTCTAATTCCCCGTTCCCCGTAAACTCGGCCCCCGCCCCGTAATATCGAACCCTAGTATACTGAAATAATTACCCTGGGTATTTCTTCAACTTTCACAGAGGGGGGGGGGATTAATAAGGAGAGTACTTATTTGAACATATACGCTCACTCAAGAGATATATGTATAATTTGACCCATTTGCGTCATTTTTGGGTATTCCAAAAATTTTCCAAAATTTCGGAATTTTTCTTTGAAGGACCCACAGCATTTTTTAAAAAAATATAAAAAAAACAAACCTTAGCAACCCCTCATCCCATCCTTTAATAACTTCTCCTTTTCCAATTGTGAATTCAAAAGGACGTCCACAATCACGAGAAGAATCAATTTGTTGTCCATTTTTTGATTGCAATTCAGCAAATAATTTAGCCGTTTCATTAACACGTTTATCTTCCTCAGCATCATTAACCATTCCTTCAATATCTTCAGAAGATGAACGGTTGTGGTCAAAGGAGACGTTAATTTTATTTCCAGTTTCTTTATCTTCAGCTGTTACATTAAGGATTCCATCGACGTCGATTCCAAAGGTTACCTTCAAACAAAAAATTTTTTAGAAAATTCAAAAAACGTCTAAAAAAACCTCAAATGGTGGCACACGACGAGGTGCTGGTGGAATTACTGTCAAGACGAATTTTCCAAGCATGTGGTTGTCTTTAGTCATTGGACGTTCTCCTTCATAGACCTTTAAAGGAAATAATTTTTCAAAAATTTTTCAGATTTCAAAAAAAACATGAATTGTCAAAGCCTTTTGAGGTACTTTTCTGTTTTGCCACACCCCACCCATATATTCGCAGGATATACATATTTTTTATTTTTCCTTAATTCGCACAGAAAGGTCAGTCTACTTTCTTCCTCAATTTCACTAAATTTTCCCTCTGGCATGTTCAATGAGAGACACCAACAAAGAAAAGATTAATTTTTCTTTCCGATGCCATCAAAATTGAAATCAACATTTGGGAATATCGAGTGAGCACGGAAGATTGAGTCCACAGGGAAAATTAAATGAAATTGGGGAAGAAATAAAACTGACCTTTCTGTACGAATTAAGGAAAAATTTAAAATGTATCCTGCGAATATATGGGTGGGGTGTGGCAAAACAGAAAAGTACCCCTTTTGATTGTCTGCAGCATTAGAGAAAACTTGTGCCTTTATGGTTGGGATAAGAGTGTTTCGTTTGATCAACTTTGTCATTACACCACCAACAGTTTCAATACCGAGAGTCAATGGGTCCAAAACAATTTCGGTGTCTTCTTCTCCAGAAATTACTCCAGCTAGGACAGCAGCACCATAAGCAACAGCCTCATCTGTAAAAAAGATACAATAACCAGAATCTACCCAGGAAAAAAATTTTAAACCTGGATTAATGCCACGAGAAGGTTCTTTTCCATTAAAGAAATCTTTCAATAATTGTTGAATTTTTGGAATTCTTGCTGATCCACCAACCAAAAAATATTGAATGTCATCCTTCTTTATGTCTTAAACAGAAAATCTCATAATTTTTCAAAAATTCCCCTCAAAAAAACCTGCATCTTCCAAAACTTTTTGCACAGCATTAAGTGTTCCTTCAAACAAATCCATATTTAATTCTTCAAATTTGGCACGAGTTAAAGTTTCAGCAAAATCAATTCCATCAATTAAAGATTTAACTTCCATTTTAACTATGTGCTGGACTGAGAGGGCTCTCTTTGCCTTTTCGACCTTTAAAAGAAAGGATTATTTATAAATCATGGACCAAAAATTATTTAAAAAATTTTTTGTAAGTTTTTTAGCATAAAGGAGAATTAAGGGACGGAAAAAGAATAAAACGCGGAAAAGCGTACCTTTTGGTTAAGTGGTATAATTAAAAATCTTACAGAAAAGAGGGTACAAGGTTCGAACCCAGGCAGTGGAAACTCTCATTTTTAGTCATTTTAAATAAAAACTAATAATTCTATAAATTTTCCAACAAACATAAAAATTGTTAAAAATTTTTTAAAACCCCAAAAGACACAAAAAAACAAACCTCACGACGAAGTTTTTGATTTTGGTGTCATTCGACACAGCTCGACGGGTTCTATAATTTGATAACAGACTGACCATTTTTAATACTTTTAGGTAGGAAAAATGCATGGGGTATACCATCCGAACTATTACCAAATCCCCTGGTACTGACCCGAAACGAAACCCGACATGAAGATTAAAGTTTAAAACCCGATCAGGCTTTTCCCAACCCGTGACATCCCTGGTTCCTGGAAAGTAAGGAAATCAGAAAACGAAGAACCTAATCGATCGGTTTCGAACTGATTATCCTAGTTCTGCCAATTATAAAATAAAAATTAAGAATAAAAACCTTTTTCATTCCAATAGGTTGTTGTTCATCATCCTCTAATATATCAGAAAAATGTACACGCCGTCTTTCTTGTTTTGAATGTTGATTATTCTCTTCCTCTCCTTCCTTCACATCCATTTCTTCCCCATTCTCATCAATTTTCTCTTCCTCATCTTCACTTAATTCCAGTGAATCACAAAGTTTGACAAACCTCTCATAATCCTAAGAAAATAATTTTTAATAAATAAACCCCTCAAAACCCCCAAAAAACCTTTTCAGACACTCCTTTTGGCCTAGTTGGTTTGGTATTATCTTCTTTAGATTTTTCATTAATTTTATTATCGTCTTCATTATTTCCATCTCCATTCTTCAGTATTTGATCTATCTCATCATTTATTCGATCCATCTCATCATTTTTTGAACAAGGCTTTGAAGATGACTTATTTGGTGAAGGGGGCGATTTTTTAGTAGGAGAATGTTGAATTCGTTTACCTTTAAAAAATAAAAACAAGTTAGGTTATGTTCACAATTTAGAGAGATTTCTACAGGGGAGAGTTTTCTACAGGTCTTCCAACTCAATTTTCGGGACAAAATGAATTAAAGGTCCCAATCAATCCAACCCATCCGTTTTTTCTTTTCTCTACAAGGGGTTCTAAATAAAGACCAAGATTGGGAGGAGGATCCTGCTTTCGGGACAACGTAAAATAAAAGTTTCAGGCAATCCGACCTATCCCTTCTAGACTAAGGAACACCTTGAGGCATATAACCCTCTCAACATCATTAATTTTAAAAATAAACCTTTAATTTTTCCACTCCCTTCCTTGTCTTCATTTTCTGGTTCTCGAATTTCAACTAAACCATCGTTTGTCTAAAATCAAATTAAAATTTTGTTCCAAAATTTGGAGTAACTTACAATATTTAATCTTTCCATTAGAGCGACCTTTTCAGTTAGAGATGTCATTTCTTGACGTAAATATTTTAAAGCAGTTTGAAAAGCTATAAAAAAATTAAAGGAAAAAATTTTGATTTGGGGGTTTAGCGACCGGTTATTTAACCAATACCGATTCAGATTTCGGTTATGACGCTAACTTTTGGAAGAAAAAGAGCAGGGAAATGGAGCTGCTAATAAATAACAAAATTTAGACGAGGTTGGATAAGGCCCGTGACCAGCAGTGGATCAGGCCCGTATCCAGGGGTGGATCAGGCCCGTAGCCCCCCCCCTCTCCGAGAAAAATCTTGGCTACGGGCATGGGTTGGAGGACAGATTAGTCCAAAGTTTGAAAAGGGACCGTTTTGGTTTTATAAAACCCGTCGCCAACAACCCTAATTTATATTTAAAATCTTTCTAAAAAACCTTCAATTTGTCTATCCAAAATTTCTAAAGCTTGTTCACGCGTTCTCATAACAAATAAATTATCAGCAAGAAAAACCATACAGCGATCGCCTGGCGCTGTAATTTTCAAAAATTTCTTTCAATTAAAAAATTTTTTAACCTTGACATTCAATTAAACGCCTAGCATTTTCATAAACAGAAACCTCGTGTTCTTTATGGGCTATAAAGGCTTGGATATTTTGAAGCTCCTGAAAAAATTATTTTTAAGTTTGAAGCAGTTAAGGCGTCGGGGCCAGGTTTTATTCTTTTACCCAAACCAGGCCTATCATTTTAACAAAAATACCCTTGTTTCCTGGCTACTGGGTCCTTAAAAGACGTTTCCAGGCCCAAAGCTAGGAGGTGGGGTAGGATGGGTGGTTGCCCCCCCTGAAGATTTTTACTGGCTACGGGGTTTGTAAAAGCCGTCACGGGTCGGATTGGAACTCTAATTCTTACTCTTCTAAATTTGAAAAAAATTCAAAATTTAAATATAATTTTGCAAAAAAATTGTGAAATCGTGACCCAAAAATTTGAAAAAAAATCTGAAACAATTTCCCACCATCAAAAAAAAATTTAAAAAAAAACTAACTAACAATTAAGTGAATTTCTCTAGCAAGGCCAATATCAAGAATATTTGAAGCTGCATTAAAAGAATGTCCAACAACATTTGAATTATTTTGTTTATTTATAGAAGCATCCATTTAAATATTCAAATTAAAATTAAAATAAGGCTGAAATAAGCTAAAAAAATATTTTTAAAATTAAAAAATAATTAAGGTAAAAATTTAAAAAATCATTCAATATTTTAATTATTTAATTAAAAATGATACAAATTTTATGAAACAAAAAAATAATTTTATTGAAAAAGTCAATGAAAAACAACAATTTTTAAAATGACAATTTTTAACGTTAAAACAAATTTTTTATAAAAATTTTTAATGTGTTTTATAAAAAACGAAAAAAAGAATATTTAAATTTAAACAGCAGTTGAAAGTTTAACAAAATGTAAACAAACTAAAAAATCAATAAAAACAATTTTGCATGATAAATTTTTCGGAAAGAAATCGGATGAAACACCTAGACATGTTTAGACGCGAAATATCTTAAGAGGTCTTCTGGAGCAAATTGTTTAATCTCTCCGTTGACGTTTGCTTTGATGTGTGGTTTATTTTCTTTATCAGCAACCTAAAAATTTTTTGGAAGAATGAGAGGGTGACAATAAGTCCCAAAAATAATTTTTGCGGACAAAAGTTAAAATTTGCGGACAATTTAAAAAAACCTTCCAAATTTGCGGACAAACGCTCAATCTTGCGGACAAAAGTTCCCTCTTGTGGACAAAAATCCAATATGCGGACAGAAATTTCCAACTTGCGGACAAAATTCTCATCCTAACCCTTTGTCCGCAACCCCAAAATTATTCAAGAAATATACCCCAAACGGCCACAACTTTCTTCAAATCTACCACAAAGAACCTGTTTAGGTGTACAGCCCAAACCTCTCATGTTTTCCTTTGCTCTATCTTCAAAAATGTCTGACCTCGGGACAGAACTCCCAAAGCCAACTTCCCCGTGACGGACCATCTTACCCCGTTGCCGGAACAACTTGGAATTTTTTCTTGAAAAGTAATAAAAGTTAAACTTAAATCCGAATCGCATAAAAATTTGTTTGGACGTCTAAAGTTTTCATTGGACGTATAAACATTTCATTGAACGTATAAAGGTTGTATGGACGTATAAAGGTGTGATTGGAGCCTAAACATGACAAGAGCCAATAATTTTTAACAATAAATAAAAAAATTTAAACTTCATTTATAAGAAGGCCCAGGTTGGTCATCTAATTCAATAACAGGATCATCTGGAGTAGGAGATGATGTATAACCATACTCCTTGAAAATAAAATTAATTAGTATTTAAAAATATTAAAGGCACAAAAATTCGGTAATGCGCTACCCTAATTTTTTCGGGTACGTACTTACTTCCCCCTAGTCAAATTTTTCGGTTTCCCCGTTTCCCGTAAACTCAGCCAATATCGTAAACTCAGCCAATAGTATACTGAAATAATTACCCTGGGTATTTCTTCAACTTTCACAGAAAGGGTGATTAATAAGGAGGGTGCTTATTTGAAAATATAAGCCCTCTGAAAAAATATAAATGTATAAATTGACCCATTTGCGTCCTTTCGGGGGGTTTCGAAAATTTTCAAAGATTTCGGAATTTTTCTTTGGAGGACCCACAGCATTTTTTAAAAAATATAAAAAACGGACAAAATTCCCATCCTAACCCTTTGTCCTATTATTAAAAAGAGATTTTTAAAAATAAAGGAAAGAAGGAAAAGTTACCTTATCAATTTGATGCACAGCTGCATGGCAAATTACTTTGGTCATGTAAAAATGCAGTATTAAAAATACTGCGACGAAGTTTTTTGGGGTAGGATGCATCTAAAAGTTATAAATATTATTTCTTAAATCTACAACAAAGAACCTGTTTAGGAATACGGCCCAAACTTCTCAACTTTTCCTTTGCTCTATCTTCAAAAATGTTTGACCTCGGGACAGAATTCCCAAAGCCAAAAGGTGTTTGTTTTTTCTTTGGTGTTTTGTCCATATTACAAATCCTGAAAATAAATCGATTCTGTAATCCCCGACAAAATATTTAATTAAAAAGCTTGGCGACAATTCGGCCGGCGAAAAGTTTGCCCCGCGACAATTCGGCCGGCGACAATTCGGTCGCGACATTTTGGCCCGCGACAATTCGGGCTGTACCCGTAAAATATGTACAAAAAATAAAAATTTATAAACGTTTTGGAAAAGTGATATCTACCTTAAGGAAAAGTAAAATCTATTTAAGATATCTATCATTATAAGGTACGATTTTAGTCCACTTAGTCGCGATGGTACTTTTTTTCATTCGCTTAAAACTTAAACCAAGACACAAACGTCGGTACACAATGATCCCCCACCGTTCGATTGATATGTATATTAATTATGGGTACACGACTAATAGGCGCGGCCGAATAGGCGCCATTTTTTCGGCGCAGCATGTTTTCGGCGTTTAGGGAAAAATTTTAAATATACAAATAATAACTCATTTGTGAGTTCGACGAGCAAAGTCGAATGATATCGACACCAGCTTGTGGCTGGATATCTTGAGAGGATGTAAGGAAAATAAAAAATTTTACAAAATTTTAGTTATTAATTTAAAAACGTAACAGATATGCAAGGGAAAACATTAACAGCCGTGCTTCGCTGCGGTCGTGCTCGCTTCGCTCGCTTCGCTCCAGGCTTCAATAGTTCCGTAATTACGTAGCGATTATGTGGCCAAGCCCGGTTTTTCTTGACAAAGCGGTTGTTTGATCCATTTATATAACGCATTAATCCATCCATAAAACTATCACCCCAAGGTGAGGAACGGCCAGAGCGTGTAGAAGCTGGAGCATCAAATCTGAGGTGTTAAATTAAAACCTCCTTATTCAACGCTTCAAAAGACCATAAAATTAAAAAAAAATTTCCAATTTTTGTCATCTCCTTTTTTACTAAAAATCCAGTTAAATTTTATTCGTTCAATCGTACTTTTCTCTCTCTTTCAATTTCACATCATAAACAACATATGATTTTTTGTCTACGTTATTAAAAGAGGGGGAAAACCTTTTTACTTTGAACCCTCTGTTTAACAAAAAAAATTTTTTAAATCGCTGGTTAATTCCCTTTCTTTTTTCAATTTCCACCAATAATCACCTCAAACTATCTCGCCAAAAAAATAAAAAAATTTGGGGGAAAACTAATCAACCATACAAAGAATTATTATAATCTGCAAATAAAAGAAATTAATTTTCTTTTTTTTTCAATTTTAATCATTTCAACGAAATCATTTCTCGTTTCCTTTCTTCTTTCTCTCGGGAGGTTTTTAGGGGGTATTTTTACTTTTTTTGGGGGAGCACCTCATTTTAATTGATAATTCTCCCTTTTTTTTCTTGGCAGCCTCTATCAAATTTTCAGGGACCTTTGGTGTTTTATTGACTAAAAATATTAATTAAAAAATTAATTGAAGGAACAAAAAAGAGTAAACATATTTTTTGATAGAACCACTTCTCTTTTCATTAAAAAAATATTTTTTATTTCACGTGATTTTATTTCATTCATTTGTGTACCTTCACCTATGCTGCTTTTCTTTCTGCAGCAAAATTAAAAAAAGCTTTTACTTAAAAATAGTTTGCTAACTAAAAATAAATTTAATAAAAAGCTTCAAAAAATGCTGACTGAGCAAACATTGACTTTTTTACTCTCCCTTCAATTTTCACCACTTTGGTGTAGTTGGATAGTGTTAGGTTTGGACTACTCAGAGGTCGTGGGTTCGAATCCCACCCAGGGAAAATCATTTTTATTTTAAGAAAATTAAAATTTTTTCTATTAAAAATTGTTAAAAACATCAAAAAATATTTTTGAAAATTTTTATGGAGAAAATAAAAACGAAAAAACTAAAAATATACTAATGAGAATCATGAAAAACATTTGAGCATTAAAAGACGTCCTCTCTGTGCAGGTGCTCCCAACATTCCTTCTTTATTGTTAAACAAAAGACGCTGGCCAGGCATTAAAGTTATTATTTGAGTATTTTCAGCGCATACACGGCCAAATTTTTGAAGGGATTCGTATAGCCTGTCCAATGATTTTACTGTTATTGTACTTGAACGAGCTGCATTGTTGAAAACACCCTGGAATAAAAAATTCGAAAACGTCCTATTTTCATCTCAAATTTCGTTATAGTCACCAAGAAAAATCAGAAAAAAAAATCCAAGATTTTTTCCACTCCCCAACAACTTTTCACCACTTTGGTGTAGTTGGATAGTGTTTGGTTTTTGCCACCCAAAGGTCGTGGGTTCGAATCCCACTCAGGGAATATTATTTTTTTGAAAGAAAATTATCATCCTTTCAGTCCGGAAAATTGACTATAACCAAATTAAAAAAAATATAAACCGATTTAATATTCCCATCTTCATCAACTGAACAAATTGGATGCCTTGAACGATATAACCCTCCTCCGTTATATTCCAAAATTGAATTAGCCAAAAATTCAAATTCTTCTGGGGAGTGTTCTCGTAGTTGTGACAATGTCTTACAAGTATTTACAATTGAAATTTGTGCTGGACCATTCATTGTTTCGATTGTTACAATTGAGGGGACGTGTGAAAGATGAGGCCAGACAGTTCCCTAAATTTGTAGAAAAGTCAGAAAAATTGTAAAACTTAAAAATCTAAAAATGTCAACAAGAAACGTACGAAAAGCATATTTCCTCTATTGAATACCAGGGCATTCTATTTTTCAAAGGGTCTTCCAAAGGGCATTATATAAGAGAAAAGGGCCTTAAATGGAGGGAGGCTTCTATTGGAGAGGACCTTCCGTTAGGGAATAGGCCAGAAACATCACCAAGCAAAAAAGTTCAAACCGGTTCTTGTGCATAATCCTCCCAATAACACGTTCCCAATGCCATGCTCTCATCTAACGAATCCATTTTTGAATGATCCAAAATTGAGTGATTCTGCTTTTCTTCTGCTGTTGAGGACGAGGATACAGTTGTTGAAGTGTCTTTAAGTAGATCAGAAATTTTATTTAGACGATCATTTTGATTAAAAGCATTTTGACGAAGAAATGAAGAAGTATACCTTAAAATTGAGAACTTATTCAAGTTAAAAAATATGATGGGAG